TCTTACAGAAAGAAGGTTCCTCAAGTATTACAGGTTTTAGAAGACAACTCAAAATTTGAAGATAAAAGTGTGGGAGAAAATCAGGGGTTGCAGAAAGAAGAGATGAATTTTGGCCACAGTTAAGTCAAAGAGGGAACTGGCTGACCTCAACACTCAGTCCCTGAAAAAGGTACCCAGCTGGTGATACTCTTTTACTCATTTGAATGTAAAAGGGTTGAATTTCTTTAAAATTTTTCCCTTAGTTCAATATTTTCACTTCTGATAGATTTTCTTCCTCTATCAGTGATTCCTATTTCCAGCTGTTTTTTCAATCCCATTTCTAATTTCTTAAAAAAATCAAGCCACATTAATACTATCAATACTGAGCAGAGTTCTAATATTAAATTTTGTTCAATTCTATTTCACACTATTAAGATAAAAAATACAAAGACTAAAAAGGTAGAGTGAAATAATCAGCACCACACTTAACAGAAAGAACATTTCAAAACAACTTGAGGAGCAAGTAATTTAATAACAGCAATTTTCTGAAAGTTTACATACTGTTAAAAGAAAGTATTTCCTTGGGAGAAATAGAATTAAGAAGAGGCAGATTCAACATTTTATGTAGATGGGCGAACATCACATCCTATTCCTGTTCAAGGTATACAAACAAATACAATGATAAAAACATTTCTCAATGAAGAATTATATTCTAAGGAACTGGAACAGATTTTTTTCCCCTTTCAAAAGGTAGCATATAATGACACCATAAAAATAATATGGCAATTTCATTGCTTATAATTTTATAAATTTTCTTATGTATCATTTACAGGTAAAGACAAATTACTTCTATTTCTGAATTGTAGAAAGATGAAAGTAAAATATTTTCAATGGATGGCTTTACTACTACCACTTCAAACCTAATACAGACTATTCAAGACCAGAGGGCCAATACAATGAATGTAATGAATCTGTTCCCATTCACCCTTATGAACAGAACAGTGTTGCTGTATCCAGAACACTGCTTGGCCCATTGTAAGTATTCAATAAATACCTGATGACTTGAGGAATTTTATATTGCAAAGTAGTTATATGGACAAAAATGTTTTAATTTGATCAAAATTGTCCTCTATACAGGCTGATATAATCTTTAACTACATTGACTTTTAACTATAGTTGGTCTAATTAGGAAGAGTGGGAAAAACACAACTTATAAGAATGATATAAGTATGTTCCAAAATTCTCAAAACAAAGTTTTCTAAAATAAAATTCTTATTTCAAAAATAACCTTTATTATTTACTTATCAATAAATGCAACTCTTTCAGTTTGAACTTATTTATTGCACTTTCTTATTGAGAAAACTTACCTTTGGTTCCATTTGTTTAAAAAAAATAAATAAGGTACAATTTACATACAATAAACTGACCTTAAGCATTTAATTCTGGTTTGTGACAATTAACTACAGCCCTGTAGCCTCCATTGAAAAATGTGTAAAAATATGTAAAATACTTCCATCATCCCAGATTCTCCTACCCCTTTTCTAGTCTATCTCCCACGACTGATTTCTATAACCAAAGCTTTTTTCACTCAAAATAAAGTTTTTTGATTCTACAGTGGATCAGTAATTCATCCCTTTCTATTCCTAACTAGCATTTTACTCTATGAATGTACCATAATTTACTTAGCCTTTCTCCTGTTGGTAGATACTTGGGTTGCTTCCAGTTTAGGGCTATTATAAATTAAAGGCTGCTATGAATGCGCTTGTATGTCTTTTTGTGGAAACATGTTTTTAACTCTGTTGCACTTCTAAATTCTCTGTTCAAAATTGGCCCTTTCGAGATAAATAGAGCTAATGCTCTTAAAGTTGTCAGCTCTGACATGTTTGTGTTTCTTTGGGAAAAACATTGTGTTTAGGATCCAACTCATTTCACTTCAAAGTAGCAAACTAGTGCGAGTGGGGGAGAATTCTGAATATTCAAAATTTCATAGCTAGTTTTTAAATCTAGAAGTAAATAATTTTCTGACTTTAGAATGGGGGGATGTTTTTTGTTGTTCTATTTTAAAAGTTTATATAACAGGGAAAGATTTTTCCAAAGGTTAAAGTATTAGAATACACTATACAAATTTATCTTAAAAACCTCACTCTTAAAAATGTGACCTAAACTAAAACAGGTAAGTTGTTTTTGCTAGATAAGGACTGTCTGTAAATAGCATGGTAAAGGGTCTCCAAGTATTTAATTAAGAATGCAGAGTCATCATGAGAGAGACAATTCGTTTTTGTTTGTTTTTTTTAAACCACTGGATCTAAATAGGGAAGAAAAATAGACAATGTGAACTGTAACTTTTTTGCCCCAATTTTCAGATAGAAAATGAAAACATTTGTACCTCCTAGACATTTACAAAATTGCTGAAAGTTATCTTTCAGGTTTTTATTTCAACGAAGCCTAAGTATAAATTCGAGCCTAAGTATGAAAATTCAAAAAGTAGCTCATTCAAGAGAGCCAAATGTCATTAGCTACTTGACATTAGCTAGCTGAGACTCATAGTGAAAATTGCTTTTCTTCCATGGTACTTCAAAATAGATTCCACAACTGCTGCAACTGTCATTGTCTAGTGTGAAACAGGCTATATCTTTTTTTTTCATAAAGCAGTTACTATATACATGTTAATGTTTCCTAAACAAATAAGCAATATAATGAGAAATGTAGACACTGTAATGGGACTTAAGTTAAATATGTACCATTATTTACCAGAGTTTTCACATTTCTGAGAAACAGTCCTCACATTAAATATTTAACAGCTTTAAAAAGGAAGTTACTATATATTATTGATTTAAGGAAAAATTTAGGTTAAGTTTCCTTATTGTCTTTAATAGAAATTAAATATTTGTTGACATGAGGGATCTTCAAGAAAAAAAAACACACTTGTAAAATCATCTGGCCACTAAATCAAATATTGTATTTTCTAATCTGCTTCAACTATACTCTATCAACAGAAAGGTGAAACTAATATAAAACCATCCACCATCAGAATTAACACACACAATTCAGGATTGGGGAAGGGAATTAAGAGGTCATTTTTCTTTCCTGACTGTTAAAAATTCAGCAGTTAAATTATGCAAATTATTAACTTTGCCCAAATTGTGGTAAGTTGGCAAAAGGGGACAAATGTCACAAAATAACCATATCCTTTTGACTTGGTATTATTATTTTAGCAAATATACCCAAGGGTATAACTCAAAAGAGACAAAAATAACAATTGGTATAGGTACATGGGTACTTACAACTAAACATTATGAACAAAAAATGTATTTATGTGAACATTCCAAATTTCCAGCAACAGGGAAATGATTAGGATTACTGTGATCTTAATTTAAAATACAATTACATAGTTATTAGAACAAGATGAAGAATAAATTAAAATATGTAAAGTACTTAAGTAAAAGAAATGATAAAGGGGAAAAAGTTTTTATACGTAATTGCTGCAATTCTATCAGAATAAACTGGTGGGATCAAAAGACGACATTGCTGTTTATAAACACTTGCCTTGAAACAGTTTTTTCATTTTATGTTACTTTTCTGTGGTTTCTAATATTTAGGTACTTCTTTTTAATGCCCATTATTCAGTTACCATGGTTTCTATTCAGTTCAATTACCAAAACCTTTAACATCTAAAATGTTAACATCTCACAATTCATTTATCAGAGCATAATTTATCAGAGCACAATTCATAAACAGAGCAACTGTTTCTGTCCATAATCCAAAAAATCTCTAGATGTGTAACGGTTACCTAGTTTCCACATCTAAACCTATCTCCCTACCAGACTTTGCCCTTTTTTTTTTTTTTCCTTAAATCTCTGAGAGAGGCTATCTCCCAAGGCACCCTATTTGGGGAATATTTTGTATAATAAAAAAAATTACTTCTAGTTGTCTTTTGGTCTACACAAAATAAATCATCCAGTCAGCCTTCCAAGTGCTGTATTTTAAGTCGACTAACGAAGATCTCCAGACTGTTCCAAGTTAAGCAAGCCTCTTCATTTCAAAATTACTTTTAGTTCATGCTTAACACCCCCTGATGCTCAGAACATGAGTTCAGTGTTTGCTGAATCAATATGGCTTTTTCCCCCTTATCATCCTACTCTATCAAGTCTGGTTTACAAATACCCCACTTACACTGTAATGCTCAGAATACAACAAAATCTTCCAAGCATTGCCTTCATTTTGGAAAACTTTTTACCCTTTTGACTTTAAGTCCTAAGTTGTGGGTTGTTGTTTTTGTTTTTTGTAAAGGAGGGACCTTTACAAAAGGGTCTATCTGCGACGTATATAACGTCACAGATATTGGTTAAATTTCATTGTCTAAAATTTGGACCATCGTACTGGCCTATGAACACTTGGCTACTGTATCTCTCGTACAACGGGAGTTAACCTCAACTGCCTCCACGCCCATAGCAATGGAGGCGACCTCAAATGCTCTCTCTTCATAGGTATTCTCTCCCCTACAGGAATAGAGATCTTTTTCTAGTTTTCTTACTAAACAAAACTGCCTTACACATATTCCATGTATGCCTGTACTTCTCTCCCACACGCACACACTCACGCCCACACGCTGAGGGCACAATCCAGCTGAGAACTGTTGTTGCCTGATACACAGCGGCTTGGATAACGACTTATTCTGCTTTAAAATAAAGCAAACTGCGGAGAATGATGTCGATGGCTAAGACGAGCTAGGTCCCAACTCAACACCTTCTTGGGAAAGAAATGGTCTCGCACCATGGAAACACGCGGGACACCGGGACTGAGACAGGCACGCTGTAAGACCTTGTAACGAAGAAGTGACGTCACACACACTCCAAGGAAGTTGCGCCAGCGCGCGCTTTCACAGGGTCACGAGACACTGCGCAACCCGTGAGCTCCGCCCCGCCCCTTGACCCGAGAACGTTTAGCGTCCCCCACCTCCCCAGCCCCGCCCCCGCCTGGCAAAGAGCAGAGGATGGGCACGCGCTAAAGGTTGTGATTACCTGTGAGCCGGGCAAACCCGGTAATGCTCTCGGGGACTGGGAGCCTCTTAAGATAAGCAGGGAGCTGAACCTTCACTATGCGGGCTACACTTTCCAGCACCATTCTTGCCGGCTGCGTCTGCTCCCGAGGTTCTGCCTCGCCAGCCGAGCTGCTGCGCGTGCGCAGAAAGCAGAGTTGGCGAGCGGGAGATTGAAGTCTAGTTACCGACGGCAGGCGGGGCTGCGGGGCCCTGGTGGTAGTGACCTGCCCTGCGCTGATTGGCAGCGGGCGAGTGACGTGTACGCTGGCCGGGACAACGGCGAGGGGGCCCGGGAAGGCCTTGGTCTCCGGGGTCGCGGAACGGGTGTGTAATGGGATCTCCTAGGGTTTAGATTTTGAAGAGGGCCTTTGCATTAGGCGTTTTATGTCCGTGAACGCTGGAGGTTTGCAGGAAGGATATTGTGTAGGATGAGCTAAACCATGTGAGAGTGCTCTGTAACTTGCAAGTGCCTTTCAGAAGTGGGGTTCTCCCCATGACTTTTTTTTTTGTTCCTCTTTTCTTGGCCTCTCGCAAAAAAAGGCTGGATTGAACACTCACCTAAGAGGACCGCCATCCCCACGGTCCCTAACTCTGCTCTCTCACCCCTGCAATACAGGTTTTCTAAAAAAGAAGTTAAAATAACTACCTAAACTAAAATGCTTATAGCTCTGCATCTCCGTAATTCAGTGCAACCTTGCCCCGAATCCCTGACGTGTTTCCTACTCAGCCAAGACCTGTGATAGTTCTTCCTTAGATACTTTCAATTCCTTCTGTAGATCAGTTCTTTTTTTCGTTTCACTAGAAATTGGAACATAATAAAAAAAATAGAAAGCTTTAGGGTTTTCCTTTATATATTGTTGCTGGGCTTCTGCTACAACCTGAAGTATCTGTGAAGATCTTTTATTTTTGTTATTTTTATTAACATCTTTTTTAAAATTAAGAGATATAAAGAGAGTTTTACTCTATTGAAACACCTTAGTTGACATGACTTCGTTATGTTTTTATTTTGAAGTAAAATATCCCAAGTAACGCACTTGATGATTGCATGTTGTGTATGTCGTGTGACCTTAATTCAATGTCTCATTACAGTTCTGATCTTCACTTGCCAACTTTGATCAGTTTTCATTTCGTTTGACTTAATATAAACAGCCAGTTGTAATAAATACGTTTCTTGTTTTTTATATTTCCCTTGGTATTTTCATTTTAAAGTGAAAAGGGAGAGAATTTGTTGAAAGCAACTTTTTGTTGGATTGTTTAAATTTAATGTTTGTGATGGTCACTGACAGAAAATAACGATCGGTAAGAGTTCATTGGAATCTAAATAAACTGATTATATATCATTTTACCCTGTTCAGAACTGTCAAAGTACAATTACAATGGGAATTCTATGAAGATATTTAGATACGGGTTCACACGTTCATGAGCTTGAGCAATATAAATGTGATATACAAAGTGGTGATTAAAAGGTTGCCATGCACATTAGGATCTCCTTTCAATTTCCTTTTGCGAGCTTTCTTCTGGTTTGAAGTAAGAAGGACCTTAGAGCTAGATTATCCTGAATATGATGATTTCAGACATCTTTGTCCTCTAGACTGAACCACTGGCCATTATCTTTAATTTCTACTGATCAAATATAGTGACACCTTTTGGGAGATGGTTGAGGTAGACAAACATTGGGAGTGGGGCCCAGTAGGGGAAGAAAAGCTTGAAGAATGCCACTAAATATAACAGGCTTTGGGGTTTTTTTAAAAAAAAGATTGTATTTTTATTTACTTTTTTAGAGGGAGAGGGGAAGGGAGGGAGAAACAGGTAGAGAAACATCAATCTGTTGCCTCTCCCACACCCCAAACTGGATCCCTGGCCCACAACCCAGGCATGTACCCTGACTGGGGACCAGCCAGTGACCTTTGATTTACAGGCTGGGTGGTGTTCAATCCACTGAGCCACACCAACCAGGGTAGGGGCTTTGTGGTTTTGGCAAGGGTAAAACAAGCTTTGTTGAGTGAGATTATTAAGGCTTCTAAGAAGTTTTTCTTTAAAGGAATTGAAATATATATACTTCGATTAAGAGAAATAACAGTAAAATGCTCAAGTGCCACATGTGCAGTTGGAGGTGACCACCACCCAGGTAGGTAGGTAGGTAGATATAGATAGATGCTTGATAGATAGACAGACTATATCCACCATCCCAGAGAATTTCTTCGTGCCCCTTCTAGCCACTACTGTTTTGTCTTGCTTTGCAAATTCTTGAACTTCATATAAAAGGAATTATGCAGTATGTAGTTTTTGTGTATGTGTGTGTGACTTAGTTTCCCTAAGCCATTTATGTGGATAGCTGGTTTGGTATTTCCAAGTAGAAATGTAGTGATTGGAAGTCTGTATGGATGATGGATAAAACATTTTTTATTTTTTAATTTAGAGATGTGGGTGCCTTCATTAGGCATTTGTGATGCATTACGTGAGCTATGCTAATATATAAAAGAGTTTCTAACCCCATCAATCAAAAAACTATTGTGGATTATAGGGCATTTTTTTTCTTAGATACCTTTAACTTTAAATTTATGTCCAGTTTTACTCATATTTTTAAATTTGTATTTCATTTCCACAACCCTGCCTTCTTGGCAGTACATGAAATGGGCTGAAGATAATATTGTTCTAAACAGAAATGACAGGCTTATCTACCTTCTTACATACTATCTAGAAAAAATCTGGTTTTATTAATATTAAATCTTATATTTAGACCAAATTTTTAAAAAACAAAAATACCTTGTGGTCCAGAAAGGCCAGACAAGATATTCAATGTGTGAATAAAGTTAAAGATGCTATTATTTACTGTTAAAACTTTAGTGAGGATCAGTAATCTATTGTCTGTGTTTAGTCCCAGTTAGGCCTAGAGTCTAATTTCTTTGCACGCTTCCCTTCTATAAGCTCATCCAGTCCCATGAATTCAAATATGATAAATGAATTGATGTAGCCCAAATCTCTATCCCCAGTCCAGATTTGTAATCCCAAATGTCTCTGGGATATCTCTGGGCCTCTTTGCCCATTTTGCAATTGCTTTGCTCATCTTTGTCACTGATTTATGTTTTCTGTATAAAAATACCATATTTATATTTGTATGACTTCTATAGATCTTCCAGTTTATGCCTTTTCTTTGAACTTTGTTTATGGTGTCTTGTCTTATACTGAAATTTAGTTTGTATGTAGTCAAATTTATTTATCATTTCCTTTATATTTTGTGCTTTGGGGAGTCCTGTTTAAGAAATCCTTTCCTACCTCAAAATCACAAAGATATTATTTATCTTTTTGCTAAAAGTCTTAAGATTTTATTCTTCATATTTAGGTTTTTTACCAACCTATTTTTTGTGCATGAGATGGAGATCTAATTTTATTTATTTTACATATGAACAGTTAATTGTGCTAGCAGCATTTATTGACTGATTTAACTCTTCTCTTATGCTTTGTAATGTCACTAATCTCAAATCAGTATTCCACACACCCATAGATTGTTTACTGTTTTCCACTGGTTTGTTTGTATGACATTATCACACCATCATAGTTGTTGCAGCTTTAAAATAGGTATTAATTCCCAGCAGGATATTAACAACAGTTAATATTAATGTATTTTCGTCAAAAGTATCTTGGGAATGCAAGGTTTTTACTACTCTATATGAATTTCAGAAGCATCTCTTTAAAACATAATGAAACAAAAATTAGTTCTGTTAAAAATTCATTATGGCCTCAGTCTCTCCTTTGTAATATGCTGGTATCAATGGTTATGATTAGATATAATTAATTTTAGGATACTTAAAGAATGGTTAATATTAGTATCATCATCAATGAATAAGCCTTTACTCTGGTTTTGAGATCACAAATTCAGAAATTCTACCTTCTGACCATACTTCCTATATTTCTGTATATGTCTTCCATTCCTTTACCTCCACTAAACTAATTCTTTTACTTCATCAAGATGTTTAGTGTTGACACCATCTCCATTTTTTTAGCCTTGCTTCATTCCTGGATTTATTTCTTTTTCCCATTCTTTGCAAAAGTTGGTCCAAATTTTCACTGTTCTACGTTATTTATTAAACCTAACTGCTACTACCAGGCTTATTTTAAGTTAATATGATCTTGCTTTTTAGTTACCAGAGAAATTTTCCTTATCATCATCTCTAAATGTGGTTATAATTCCTCCTATGCTTAATGTCTGCCCTGTTCTTCAACTCTCATTGCTCCCTGTGTTCTAGAGTTCATCTTCCAAGACCCTGCTCCATTAGTCATCTTCTCCCAAATTTCCATTTTCTTGCTCTCTATTGGCCCTATAAAATGGTGACTTCCAGGCTTTTAGATTTCACCAATCAATACATTTTTTAAAAGAGACAATAAATACAGGGTTGCCAACTTAAAAAATATTTAAAAGCAAACTATACTACAAGACTATAATAGTCAAAATAGATCAATGAACAGAATAGAGAGCCCAGAAATAGACCCACATTTTTATAATCAATATTTGACAAAGGAGGCAAAAATATACAATGAGCTAAAGGTAAAGATAGTTTATTCAAAAAGGTGGGAAGATTGGACAGATATATGCAAAAAACTGAAACTAGACCACCTTCTTGTTATACACAAGACTAAACTCCAGTGTGTTAAAGACTTAAATGTTATACTTGAAACCATAAAAAGCCTGGAAGAAAACATAAGCAGTAAGATCTCAGATATTTCTTGTGCCATTATTTTTTTTTTCTGATACATCTCCTCAGGCAAAGGAAACAAAAGAAAAAATGGGACTACTTCAAAGCAAAAAGCTTTTGTGCAGCAAAGGAAACCATCAACAAAATGAAAGACAACCCATTAAATGGGAGAACACTAATTCAAAAGAATGTATGCACTCCTGTGTTCTTTGCAGCATTATTTACAATAGCTAAGATTTTGAAGCAGTCCAAGTGTCTAGCAATAGATGAATGGATAAAAAAGCTGTGATACATTTATACAACAGAATACTACTCAGCCATAAAAAAGGAGGAAATCTTACCCTTTGCAACAGCATGGATGGACCTCGAGAGCATTACGCTAAGTGAAATAAGGTAGGCCGAGAAAGAAGAATATCATATGATTTCATTCATATGTGGGATCTAAAGAGCAAATTGAACTAACAAGCAAACTAA